CAAAATTTCCATTGCTTTTTTTTACTTGTAAATTTTCATCTATTTGATTTTTTCATTCAAAGCAGAAAATTGATTTGACTTTAATTTTTCAAAGACATATTCTATTTGACTCAGCTGCATCAATATGAATGGGTTCAGATTGAACTTCACAAGCTTGAATTTAAGGTTCAACCTCCATCTCTTCAATTGATTTTCTTTTTATTTTCTCACTTTTCAATGCAAAAATTTTGTCTTTCATAGGCTATGAAAGATAAAATTTTATAAGCTATATAAAATTATATAAGCTATGAATCATAGCTTATTTCTTTGTGTGTACATCCACTACCATTCTTTTTTACTCCTTCATCTCATTCATGATAACAAATATGACATCATCCATGTTTAGTGATGTTCTCATGTTTATTCTCATCCATTATAACGCAGAGTAAGTATAATGACTATCTAAATTCTCATCAAAGGAGTCACAAAACATAGAGATGATTTCACAAGAAGTTTATAACATTTTATAGCATATATTCGTATAAATAAGTGTACACTCTATCATTGATTGATATATTGTCTTAATCTCTATATATGTATTGATCAAATCAAGGCAATTGATTCACAACTTAAAATCATCAAACATCTAAGATAGACAGAAATGGTATAATCTTATATCTCTGTGTAAATATCAATTGGTGAAACCAACAACATTTTCAACTCCATCATCCTAGTCCAAAAATCTACATCATTCAAAAATAATGTTTTTATCATAAAACCAATGTGAATATCAAAGAGGTTGGAGACTGGTCATTGCGGTATTGGATTTTTCCCAAACATATCCATATCTGCAAACTACAAATTTTTCTATTCTCTTTTCTCTACATGCAAATGAATGATCTTTGTCAACTATTATATACTCTCAACAACTAAATGATATCATCATATCTTTGCTATTCCATGAGGAGTAATCTATAGTCAAGTAAATAACAAGGTAGCTTTAATATCATTGTACGACTATGAATTTAGTGAGTAACTCATTCAAGTATGAAACATAACTTGGAAGATGAGATATAACAAAAATGATTTTGCTCTCACTTATTTATTTCTTATCAACCAGTACAAAGAGATAAGATTTCACCTTCACAATATATCCACTTCTTTTAGATTGATAACACGGCAAATAATCCTAACAAGCACACGTATTGTTGACGTGTTGTTCTTAATACACTAACTTTTGACCTATCAAACACACGTATCATTGATGTGACAACTATGAATATTGCACTCTAAGGTAACTATGATTTCATCTTAATTAATATTCATTTGAGTTTCAACCAAAAAAATGTTTACAATGATGATGTTCAAACTTTGCTAAATAGATTTGAGTGTATTGCAATTATGTAAAGAATTATGCAATCAATGATTGACAAAAAAATTAATTGAAACATTCATAACAACCATGATTCATGAATAACAAATAATTCTATAGATTGAAAAACAATATCAACTACAAAGTCCAAAGTATATACAACTTGAAATTGACCATCAAAGATCTCTTTAAACATATGTAATTAACAAGAATTACATATATTGATAAGTATATTATTATAATATTTTGATGTGCATTTGCAATTTTGTAATCAATGTTTTTAAGATGAATGAATATTGTCATTCTGAACTTCATATTGATTTAAATTATGAAATTTTTATGGTAGTAATTATGATTTTTGTTAAAAAAATTCAAAATCATTGATTTGTAGTTTGCAAAAGTTTCATATAAATTGAACTAACATCCTATATAATTGAACAAAACATTTGATTAATTAATGAGATTTTAAGACTTTAAATGAAAATTATTTGATACTTGATAATATTTAAAAAAGATGCAATTCTTGTCTTCATTATTCTTGTACTACATGCAGATAATATATTTATTGCTGGTAAAAAAATTTTGATGTTGACAAATCAAAGCTTTCTTAAGTTTTGAATGTATATGTATAAAGTTTTATGCAACAAGTAGTCTTATTTGGGTTAAGGAAAATTTGAGAGATAATAAGTTATGATTACAAGACAGATGAGCTAAAAAATAATTGCAAGGTTCAAAATGAAGAAATGCAAGTTTGTGACTATTACTTTATTTCTTAGGTTCAAGCTGTCATCATATCAATCTATTTCACATGATAGAAATACTTTTAAACAAGAAATAATACATATGATAAAAGATTTTTATTTCAATTATAATCTAGTATTCTAATTAAATTTAAAATAGACATAACTCAAGATTAAAATATTGTTAATTATCTATAATCGTCACGTTTTTTATCTGTGTGCTTGATAGGTAGAGAGTAAGTGTCTTAAACACCGCAGCATAATCAGCACACTATCATACCCCTTATTATTGACTACGACACTTCAGCAATTCGTGTGATTATTTGGTAAGTATTGAATGGGTTAATTAATATGTAAAGTGAGTGCGACATGTCAACAATCTATGTGCTTCTTAGAATTTTCCATCATGTCATTAATCCATTGAAATGTATATTGGAGGTGGGATTTTATCCTTTGTTGTATTTGTTATTAAAATCTGTACAAGAAAGTGAAGAATTATTGTAGTAATCTCTCAAATTCAGAGTTTTCTTTCATCTTTGAGTAAAAAATTTTCTTAATCCTCAATGTTATAATTACCAATACTAACATATATAACATATTTCATGAAAAAAAAATATCAGAAAAGATTAAAAAAATATATCAGAAAAGATTGAAAAAATATTCTATCTTGTTGAGTCTTAGATTGAAATGATTTTTAATCATTGTATAGGCAAAAATGTAAAGTATCATATGTTTTGTATATGATACATGTAAAATAAACTAACAATAATATCAACATGTAATTTGATTTCACATTATCATTTTCGATATAGCTTAATTCAAATGAAACCTAATTTACTCACATACATAAATTAATATAGAGATGTTTTTTTCATATAGAATAATCATGTATACTATGAAAGCTATAATATTCAAGATTTTAGTCAAATGAAATATTGTTATAAATTGATTTCAAATATTGGCTGAGAATATCTAGTTAAATTATGATTAGTTTAACCTATCAATTTGTCATTTGATCACAACTCTTAGTCATGCAGTTTAGATTTCTAATAATTTATTTTTGATTGTTTACTGGATGTAGCTAATCTAGTCAAAACCTAAGATATCATATGTTCTTTACATATAATTGCATGTCATTGTGAATGTCATGCAATTATTAAAATGATACAGTTTTATCATTATATTAATAAGTATCAAAAATCCTAATTCAAATCATCATAATTTAATCATTTGAAAGGTTTCAATATCTGAATACATTTTATATATAATATGTCAATTTAACACAAGTTATACTTATAAATGAATATGAAATTAAGTCTATCATCATTTTTTGTATTAAATCATAATTTAATATGAAATGTCATGTATATATTCCTAGATAAATTAATTGATTTATTAAATTTTATAACACAAGTATTAGAACTATAAAGTTATTTTTTAATTCTTCAACACATGAATCAATTAATTTTTAGATTACATATGCCATAGCAATCATAGCTATACTTGTTGAGAAATGATCAAATCTTTTACTTTTGTTTATAAACATTTGATTTGTGAATTTATTTCATTATTGACTTGTTACAATGTACATGTTGCCAATGACTTTACATCCAGTTTTCTAAATTTGTGTCAAGCTTTTTGATTAATCATTGGAGTCTAAACGTTACTTTATAATTCTAAATTACATTTTTAAAATTAAACAAAAAGAAAAAAACGAAAATAATATAAACATTGAATTTACAACATAACCTCAATCTATGTATTATCAACTGACAGAAAAAGCCACTATTCTATTCTACTCTTACTTGTAAGAAATATGCATCGGTATGTTCTGCATTAGTTGAATTTTTTTTTAAGTTTTTCATACATTTATGAAATGAATTTTTAATCATAAGAAAAAATGTAATTTTATAATTGATGTATTTTTTTCCCTAAATCACAAAATAGATCACTTGTAAACCATTTTATATCCAAATGTCATAAGTTCATCATTTATATAACACTGAAATAAGACTTTAGTTTAAAGAAAAGATGAAATAGTATTTTAAAATTAAAAATTATGCATATTTGTGATTCTCAGCATAAGGTCAAATGTGTAGGGGTAGATCGCTACGAGATTAGATACCAGAGATGGCGTACGACTTTAAAGATAATAGAGATACATATCTTCTTGGTCCTCCACTCTCTGTGAGTTTACCCCACATCAGTTGTATACTCTCACTTCTGAATGAATGACTACAATGAGTGTGGATGAGACATACCTTGCTCTGGATTCTGAGTTTCTGTCTTCCAGAAGTTCGGCGGACAACTCACTCGTACACTTAAATTTGGAGCAAATGTTTATGTTGTGTAGTCTCTATCTTGGAGCTCAGAAATGTTCACTAAAATTGGTAAAAGATTTAGTATGATGTTGCAAGTGCAATGATTGGTGTATGTGACGCGTCAAAGATTTCCCCTTCGCGTACTCGGAATCAACCTTGTCCTTGGGTCTGTTGTGAAAATTTCCAGTTCTTACAATATGTTCACGTTTTAACACCCAGGTCCCTTTTGCATGTTCCTCGTTTCATGATGCTTTCTCGGAGTATAATTGATACTCTGCGTGTGAAACATTTTAGATGCTTGTTGCAATCACAGTCGGGAACTGAACAGTACCTCTTATGACTTTTCTCCGCATGTAGTACGCATGCCATGTAGCTCGACCACAACAACAGTCGTCCGTTTTGAGTTCTTGCTCTTCTGTCGTAGGCCCGCAAGGCTACCTGACCCTTTCTGAAAATGAACCAGACATAAAATTTCACCGCCGCTCTGTAAAGTAAACAAATATGCACAGATGCATCACCGGACGGATTGTACGATCGCTAGTGAGTAAACAGATCTGTAGAGCCTAGCCCATCATGAGAGAGAATGTTAATGATATTGCGGACCCTTCTCATACGTTTAGTTGAAGTTAGTCAAGGAAACGAATGTACAATTATAAATTTAAAAAAATGGACTAAATGAATGCCGAGTAACTGCTCGGAATGAGATAAGAAGATTCAAGTAGATTGGTTAAGGCTTCCATGAACCTTTTCTAACCTTACGGAAGGATGCTTCGTCTACGTGCGGATGTTCGAATCCATCAGCGTGATTTGATCCCTCACTGATCATCACTGACAAATCATAAGGACTTCGTCAAGACAACAGACCACTGTCCTCACACATGCTGAACAGAAGAAGTGTCCATGGCAAAGCATATCACCACATGGACATTTCTGCAGAACATATGACCATGGGCAGATAGGTAGTAGTCAGTCCTCTTAATTTTCTCCTGTAATCTCTTTCCCGATATTACGCTGCCTGCAGGTGGTAACCGTATCTCGGGCTTCAGTGTCCGTTCATCACAAGTGACTGTAATATCGTTACCTGCAATGGATTCTTGGTCCTTCAGACACAACAGTGGTGTGTGTGTTCGGGAGTTCCAAGGTAGTGGATTGTGGCCTTCCCGGTGGGTATCATGTCGACGTCCCTCGACAGCTGCCTCCTCCGCCTGCTGTCGTAAGGACTCTCAGCCACTTTTGAGTTAGGTTCTCGAATGGCTCCAGATCGATGCGAAGGGCTCAAGTTGTCCAGTAACAGGTGTGAAAATCGTCCTCATAGTAGAGCTCCGCCACATACTGGAAGCAGTGTTGAGAAGACGATGCACATCCGGGCCGGCACCTCTGAGAAACATGTGACTTCGCGTGACTGATGGTAGGCTTCACTAGCTAGCTGTTAGATTTCGCCTAGACTTCTGGTGCTTCATTCTACACTCTAAGAGGTGTGACAAGGAGCTAGACCAACGGCAATGCTCATGAGAGAGATCACAAAACCGAAGCCTGAAGAACATCAATGTCTCACATCAAGGGAGACATACGAACGAAGAGTATGGACTAAGTAGACATGCAGCTACGATGAAAACTTCCAGTTCACAAAGGGGTAAACTGGGGGAAACTGTGTAATCTTGAGACGACTTCACGAACTTGTCGGAAATCTGTCAGGCTGGAGTGCACGAGCTTCTAAACCCCGTTGCGTCGATCTCAAGCTGTTGGGATCGATAACAGGCTTTTTTCGTTTCACAAGGTTTGTATCCTTCACGCGATCTATGCAACTCGCTCGAAGAAACATCAAACACATCCCCATGTATTACCCCTTCCCAAAACAGCTCCGAAATGGGAACCACCACTCCCCAGGTCTGAAGCAGCCGCTTTCATACTTTTTCCCAGTAAGATCCACCCTCCCTTCCATATATTAACAAGTTTGATATCTACTCTTTCTTTGAGAGCTTCGACAACCTCCCACTCGGCAGGAAAAGTCGATGCAGTCTGCTGGCAGTTTAACCCCAGCCGACTCAGGTGTCTCAAGGGCAGGCCGTACTCGGAATCAGCCGTAATCGGAATGCGACATCAGCGACAGGCTTCACTTCAACTTCGTGGAGGGCCAGCATTGGAAGGAGAGAGACGTCCTCGATGGTGAAAATACTGCCCATGAACTCACGCGTATCACAACTTCAAGATCAGCAGAGTATTCCATATGTCATCGATCAGATACGGCTTCATAGCTGGCAGGCCCGATTCTTCAAGCTGCGTAGAGAGAGAACCTTACGCGAGCAGATGGCCAGAGACGAACCTACTCGCCAGTGCGTGCCCATTGTCTAACAACCTTGAGGTGGAAAGATTTCTGGTGCAGTATCGTCAGCGGCGCGCTACGACATCATATTATCTGCCTCGAATCCAGAACTTCCTCCAAAGACGGAGGTCGACGTAAATTCCCGGCATACAGCGGCAGCATTCGCAGAAGCTGAATCTTGAAACGAATTCCGTCCATCCTTTGCTTCACCGGTGTTCATTTCAATATCCATCATGACGCCAGGACTGCCTTGTTGCACGAAGGTGTTATGGTCGCCGGAGGCAGAAGAAACATTCCGGTGTTGACGGGGGTCTTTTTCCACTTCGGGAGCTGCAAGAGTAAACTTATCCCCCAGTTCGTTATCTTCAAATCTACCTCCGATCGTTGGCCTCACAATTTTCCTCCTCCCACCTTTCCCAGGCTCACCAGCGTCCAGGTTCCCACCTTCGTCTCCCGAGCTGGCGGACACGACTTGAGACTTTTTGCGACTCCAACCCTGAGGTTCCTCCGTGGCTTGTTCCCTATTCTCAGGGACATCGAAGAAGGAGTCGTCAGCGAGGACGTCGTCTTCAGCAAGTCTCGCATCGTGGGTCCTCAGGGCACCATCTCCAGCCGCATCAACTTTTCTGGTCCAGACCAAGTTCTGGTGTGGATAGATCTTTTTCTTCTTGTTTGCAACAATATTGTCTCTGGATTCAGCAAAAGAATTCCCTGCAGGGCCAAGTCGGCTGAAGACGCGGCCTTTACCATACGGCAAGGGGGTTTTCTTTACAAAAGGCTTTGCCGGTGGAAGATTGATCCTCGACCAGACGCTTGCCTTCCTCTTCCTACTGTCAGATCTGAGGCCGCCTTCCTCAGAACTATCGAAGTTGGTTTCTTTCCACGATTGTCGGGCATCGTCGTCCTCAGCCGCAACGAAGCGCTGTCTAGGTTTGGCCGTATTGAGAAGGGTTACCACACGCTCGGCCCGACCCTTACCTGGCGGCGCCTGCAGATTGGCTTTAATTTTGAAGACGGGGACGTTCGCATTCCTGGCAGAGAAGTCTCTGCCGATGCTGTGCACAACTTCCCTGGAAGGCACTGATTCCCTCCTTGATGCTAATAACGTTGCAAGCCCTGGTTTCTCTCTACCTAGAGCTTTCGCACCTGCAAGGGGCCTCGCATGAGACTTCCCTGTCTTCCCATTGAGGAAAGTGCTCGAAACCGGGACCGGACTTGGCCTGCCTTTCTCGGCCACGCGGAGGAGAGAAACATCTTCGGAAGCTGGGCTCAGCTCTTCGAAGTCGTCACGGGAACTGGAGGCAACTGCATAATCTGACCCCCGAGAAGCTACAGACCGACCCTTTGGAGGAGAAGACACAAAGCTTTTGTCATCTTCCTCCTCCCAAACTCTCCGTCGGACTATCTTAGAATCCACATCGTGCACGTGAGACGATGAGGGTTCTCCGTGTCCCATGTCGAGGGGAATGTTCAAATCAATGTCGTTCCGCACATGTCTCGTGCTGGCGACGTAAGGCACTTCCTCTTTGTATCCACCTTTGCCGACCCTATCAAACACTTCACTTCCTGTAACTTCAGCCCTCGACTGGTGAACCTCCTTCCAGCTAGGACTCGAAGATGTATTCCCCCTTTTCAGATCGTCCAATGCGTTCGACGAAATTGCGTGCCTCTTTCTGTACAGAACTTCCCTTGTGTCATCATCTCTCCAATCTCCACCACCGACCTTCAAGTCTGCATGCCTGCCAGTGGTTACATTGTGGCCTGCAGTAGTTCTTGAACCAGATACACTTCTGACTGACTGTTGCTTGCCACGAGACAAAACGGCCATCGCGGATGAATCGAGCGGCAATATGACTTCGTCCCCATAAGCTTCCGCATCACTACTAAAGCCTTTTGATGAATGAACCTGTATCGGGACCTTTGAAGAGAAACGTCCTCCATCTTGTCCATGGTAAGCGTGGCTATTAAGAGTTCTTGTGTCCAGACCAGGAGCCCTCCTCCGATCTTCCTTACCATAAATGTCATCTGAAAGGCCATGAAAATCTTGCCGGCCTTGAACAAGCCCGGAATGCAAGGAACTTCTAGATGAAGTCGAATGGATGCTGCGGCCGGCATCCACTACTGGACGGAAGCACTGCATCAACTTCGCCACCTGCATAAAATCCAATTCATAACTCAAGCAAAGCCCCAGCCTAGATGCCGACGTACACACTATGGCATGAACGAGCACAGATACGAAGTCCAGTCGAGTTTGTAGAGGAAGACACAAAATTTTGCAAGTCAAAATGTCCAACCGTCATCAAACTCAATGCTGGAATAGGTCAGATCAAAATTCACCTGCTCCTTGCTTAATCCCGCCGTGAACTTCGTATTCGTGTAGTAATTGTCACGTATAAATTCCTTGAAGTCTCTCTCAAGAAGAGGGAGACAATCCTTGATTGCCCGGACTCGTACCTGAGCAGGCACAGAAAGATTGAGGCAAGTAGGGCAAGAAGGACAACCAGGGGTCAAAGAAAAAAGGGATTGAGTGGAAAAACTGTAAGTTTATAGTTTACTTCACCCACCAAAATGGTGTTAAGTTTGAGTCAATTCTCTGAAGAAGAATTTGAGCAAGCTGTGGTTATGGACCCAGAGGTCACATAGTTTGGATTTCCACGGTACAATGTCGGCACAACACTGTGAAGTGCAAAGTACCTCAGAGCACATGATCGGATTCGACGATTATGGCAATAACAACTGTTTCGAGAAAAGAATACTTGAAAGAAGAGATCAAAGAACGCTGTAGAAATATGGGACCCTCTAATAATGTAATAGATGTGGCAACTGCACAACCAAACTACCCAAAGCGAGGACATATATTCTAGAAAAAACCATCACTCAAAAGAGGGCAAGAAGATCGGCAGCGAATGTACATAACGATCGGATTCGTTTAAAACTCCAGGCGGAAATATATACGAATCTCATGTGTTAAAGTACCCATCAGATGAGATTTGTTAAAGTACCCATCATTTAGGGCGTCCTTCTCACAGGGACGGCCTCCAGCTACAGCATGCCCGAACACAACCATTTACTCCATGACGACGAATGCGAGAACCACTCACGTCGAGTGTAAACTGCAACCCTGTCACGAAGGCCTAAGCATATCCACATCTGGATGTGCTGTTATCAAAGAGACTTAAAGCATCACACTGTGCGTGCGCCATAGGAGGTCTCTCATAGTAGATCTTAGAATTTTCTCCGTGATCGTGACGTTACTTTTGGGACAACCCAAACAGAACATATCCCCAATCCTAATGTATAGACCGAAGGAACCAATCCTCTAAGTTCGCCACAGCTGAACAGATTCAACCGATGGAATAGTCGTACGCCACATGAAGTAAAGGTCATGAAGTGTGAAAAAGCGAGAGTGTGGACCAACCTGTGATGATGAAACCTCAGAATCAAGATCGAAGATAGCATATCCCATCGACTGAAACACACCATATAGCTCTCTTGAATTACCATCGAAAAGGAACACTTTGGTTCCAGGACCAACTTGTTCCGCGAGACGGCGGTCATCAAATGTCAACGCAAATGTTCCCTTCAAAGTCCAATCGAGAATCATGCGCTTCGGGCTCTCAAAAATAAATCCGGGAAGAAAATCATGACTGTTGCCGGCCGAAGTGACAAAATCAGATCCAGAGCTCCGAAGGCTTCCAACTCCATCGTAGTTGTTAAAACTACCATACTTTCCTCCGTGTCTCACCCATTTTGGCTCATCAGCGTAGTCTGATCTGTAAGTTCTTTCCACTCTGCCCCCGACTGCACCTTCACGAAGTCGGTTTGCATCTCCACCACCCCCTCCTCGTATAGCATCATCGGACCTCAACAATTTCATGGCGCCAAGTTCGTCCTTGAAACCCGACCTTCGTTCTGTATTTCCATATCCACTGCCTTCGGCTTGATCGAAACCCCTGGACTGCTTTGGTAAGAACCCGGGTATCCTACCATCTCTTCCCAGCCTATCTTCGTCGACAGCCGCTTTACCACGGCTAGCTCTCTCGTCGGCAGAGCCACCAAATACGTTCAGCTGTCGTCTGGGCATCGAGTTCACAGAGTGAGGTACTGTTATCCCTCCATCCCTTGGATCAAGAAGTCCCCTCGAAGTTCGGCCGACACCGTACATGTTCTCCACTTGAGTAAAATCTCTACTACTTCTCATAGACTCATCAGTTCACTGTTTCGACTCGACGTTTCCCGACCTCGTATACTTTTGTTGCGGAGTCAGGTGTTTTCTCCCACTGATAGGTCACATCAAGAGATTCAGAGTGTGTGAAACTCTGCAGAATTGACGAGCTGAGTGTCAATATGTCAACTCTTCTTCCGATACAAGAGGCGGATAGTGCACAGATATCACTACGGTCACGATATGATATTAAAGTGGGTGTACTTCAGTATAATATGCCGTTCGATCTAATAATCTAGTTTGGGAGGACCACAGCCGGCGTGCGTCAACGCCTCCGGATAAGACTCCGGTGATGCGCAAAGTTGGATCTAAGAAAGACGGGCCTGTAATAAAAGTGTCAGGCTCCAAAGAAGTGTAATGGACCTCCTCCGGGAGATTTAATAGTAGCAGCGAAAACCTTCTTAACATTGACAGAACATAACTTCTCCTCTCTCTTCCTCTTTGCTCACAGCACACTCGACTCCCTGGTATGTATTCGATACTCGTTCTGCAGACTTGTGTGCAGATCGGAAGTCACAAAGCTTGACGGTTCGGAACAGCGCCAACCTGAACACAATTGCCTGTACACAGTGCCGTGAAACGACCAGACCATATAGAAGCAACCAGATGGAGACAATCTCCTGAATAAACAACAAACTGTACCCAGGCCAGATCGTTACCAAGAAACCAGGCAGAGAACCTTCAAGCAGCAGGCATGCATGCAATCAATGTCAAACAGCAACGATACTAGATACCACCAGACTTCAATCAGCAAAAGGATAACGCAAACAGCACCAGCTCCAGCAAATCTTCAACGCATGTAAGGACACAGAAATGAACAAATGCCGGACGACCACCTCCAAACCAGCCGAGTTCAGTTCAGTCGGGACAATGCGACGATACGGGACAACATGCACAATTTGCAACGAGTCAATCGAAACAGAGCTCCGCCGGAAGCTGAACCCAGCAAGCACCTCGAGCAGGCAGGCAGGTAGGCAGGCATGCAGACGAGGAGGGAAGTGCAAGCGCCGTCAAACAGAGCTCCGTGCTGCGATCTTCTGCTCGAGCTGGTGGAGATCAAAGAAGAGAGCAAAGAGAGCGCAAGAGCAGCTGATGCACGACGCCCTTGAGCTGCAGCCGCGTCCACCACATCTGGCGCAAATTATTTCCGGGTCCGCTACCCGCTTCAAAAAGGCGGGCATGGCAAACGGCTGACGTGGGCGAGGCTGTCCCCGAAGCACTGACCCATGACTGGCTGCCCGACCGCGAACAAGAACCGCAAAGAGCATCGACGGAAACTGACCCAATATCTCGGAAGCCAGGATCTGAATCCATGACGGACGTGTTCTCTCCGAAAAAAGCCCCAATCCACAATATATGACGGCAGTCACATGTCAGCCGTCAGGGGACGGAAATCGGATCTCTTTCTTCAAGGGGCCGGGGGGCGGCGCGGAGGACCCGGCCGGGCAGGGCTCCATTTTTTCCTTGTGGTGGCGTCATCCGCGCTCATGCAAGGAACGGACCACTGTTCCGCGGCTCATGGCTAATGGCTAACGGAGAAGAGATTCGCCATCCGCTGCCCCTTCCGGTCAGGACTCAGGACGAATACGGTGAAGTCGTTGTACGGAAGTTGCGAACTTCAGTTCACTCTGCTCAGCACAGTTTCGACTTCAGTCTTACTCCAAAGTACAGTACTCGGAAGTGCAATAATTCGCCTTCAGAAATGTTGAATATACCAACGTCCGCGAGGTAGGCCGAAAGGTGGGCACGGGGCGGAAGACGGGCAACCGGCGGTAACCCTAATTCTTCAGGATCCCACGGCCTCCTCTCTGATGTCCTCTCTAGAGTCCGGTACAGTATGCCCTGCCCGGACTCCCGAGGACCGGCAGATACCGACTGCGAATATGGCTATTGTAACCGGCGTATAGACGGTCTGGAGACTCTTGCTGATTCGACGAAGACTTTCTGGGGATTACTGTGTATTTATGATGCTTTTCCCAAAATGCCCGTGGCGCCTTGGATTCATTAGCACGTGCTGGACCCACGTGTCTTGTTCTACACTACGGGGCAAGGCTTGACAATTTGCAGTATACAATAATAATGAAGCGCTCCTGCAGGAGATTCCTTTCAACGTGAGGAAGAAAAAAATGTATGACCGAGGATGAAAGGCGGGCCCAGCAGCAACCACGAGGATCATGGAACATTATATCTATTGCTCCCTCCGTCTAGTGGTCACAGTGTCTCCTTGTCAGAGCCCTCCCTCCTTAAACCGGAAGCTGGTGTGTTGGACACCAATGTATCGGACATGTCAACACCTTAGGACTACTGCGAGATATTCCTTCCAGTATGACAACGACTCATGCTCGGATTTTCACAATGTCACGATGATTGATCACTTGCAAGTTGCCGCACCTTCGGCAGTCACGGTAGTCTCGGATAAGAAATTGGATTTTAAAAACAGATTTTATACACAATATTGCATTAGCAAACAGACACGTGTTACTTAAAATTGATTCGAAACTTCAAGGTTTGGTTTTCTGGTCCACAGACTAAGAGAACCTTGCTCAGCAATTTACTTGACAATTTACGTCACGTTCAGGACGTCACAATACGACAGTGAGCAGGCGTCGTTGGATTCCCATCTTCTACATCATGCAACTACATTCGTTCCGTTTAATTCTCATGAAGTGCTACATGCTGACAAGAAAATCTAGTTGATCTTCGTCGGTACTTGTCGTTTACTCTGTATTGGAGAGTTTATCGTCACTTTCATGGACCTTTCGCCAATTGAGACAAACAGTCTGACTATGCTGAATTTTGATGGTTTCGAAGGAGGCAGCTGGTGCGTTGCAATACAGAACGACAAAAGTGCAGGTGGCGTTGCGAAGAAATATCTACACAAGTAAGCTTAGCCTTGGAAACGTCCAGCTTAGACAAAGCAACGTGCATCCCGAAAATAATACGTCGCCAAATCGACTGGCGTTCCGTGCAAGATCTTGAGTACTCCCATTCTTCCTCCAGCGTTGCCAATCGACGGGACGTCTCCGCCGACGTAAGTCGGAAGGTATCAAATATTTAGACATACCAATACGAACCCAGAGGACATCGCCTTCACGGATCCTGTCTGCGTGTGCCTCATGAGACTTAACTTCCTATGTCCCGTACCCATAACGAATTGGACTAAGACCAAAACCTTGCACTCGTTCATTTCCAGAGTGTCCTCACGTTGTTCTTCACTAATGTAGCGACATGGACATACGTAGCGAATCGAACGCTACATCACTGCAGTGGGCCTGCTGACTGAAAAGACACAAGTTTCTACCTGGAAAACCGTTAACAAACTAACAAAAACAAGTTTCCTCCAATCCAAATTTTTGCTGCGATAGCGATCCACAGTAAGACCCGCACACTGTTCATGTGAACAATTAAGTTGCCGACTCCTTCGTTTAACAAATTGAGATCAATTGACCTCATCACACGACGGAAGAGTATTCAGAAGACAGACCTAAGATTCCAGTACAAGAGACATGATCCCCGCAATCACATAACCACCGTAAAGTTATACAGATAGCCCTTAAAAGTGAAAATACAGTTGCCAGAGGTCGTTCGACACTGAATGCGAGCGCAGCTTGTATCAAAAACAACTCCAAGGTCCGAAGCAGGGCAAGGAGTAGAACTCAATCCTTTGCCTTTGGTTGGTATGAGCCCCAAACAACCACAGCAATAATACCACTCAAAAACCATGACAACAAAATAACGAGCCAAGAACACGTCTCTAAATGTACCCGATCCCGTTAGAACTTAGTGGTGAAGCTGCACTAAGTATGGCTCGATTGAACGACTTTCAAAGACAAACCAAAATTTGGTTCCGTCTCCAAAACAAAATTGGCAAATATCTCCTCCGAAGCCTCGTAGATAATCGAAATTCCGTGTTGAGGCAGGGAGATATGAAGTCGCAAGATTCGTAGCCTAGATTGGTGAATGCAGGCAAGTTTCAAGTGATGGAGTAAACCTTACTCCTGGGGTCTGGGACTCATTTTGATTGAAAATAAACACGATCGCCAAGAAGCTGACAAATGTCCACAAAATATTACACCGCCTGCGTTATGTGGCTACTCATAAGATTCTGATTAAATCTGCGTCCTTAACAAAATAGCCACACAGATTCCTTGATAAACCCTATCTAGCTTGTTTGATCCACCAGCCCATACATGATTGAATGCAGACGTGCAGTTATCTTTGTCATCAACGAATTTTCAAACGACGACAAGAAAGATAAGACTTGACAGACTCATCCAAATTAAACAAATTGTTCGCTGTCAACCCGAAACTGATAGAGGTGGCACGACAGTGATTTACAACAAAACCAAAATTTCATACTTTTCAATCATGGTAGCTTCAATAGTACAACGATGCACCTGGCGGTGTAGAAACACGTGAAGCTTTTCAGACTTGATCTATTTCCATGAGCTCGAGAGTCCAATGAACGCATTCAACTGAACAAAAAAGGGTCTAACGATGAGGCCCACCGACACCTGACATTATGCGGACTCCTTTCTCACATGCTCACCTTGTATATACAAAAAGTTGCTCAGTCAATCCACGTCAAATCAACAATCCCTTCAGATCGAGATAGATTACTGATGATCAGCTGATTGTAATTATGGCAAAGAATACAGGGTCCTGTCTCAGCTTGTTAACTCAACCCAGGTTGTCACCAAGTCGCACAAATCAGATACGTATGGATCACAACATAGACAATCATGTTGTATGGATTATGTGAGTGATCAGGGCCTCTTCAACTATTACTGCAAAATAAGTGTGGTAACTCCTAAGACTCATTATGTGGAGCCGATTCAAACTTGCCATGCTTACTTACCCCATTTGGGCGGAGGCATGTCTGCTTTTGACTTCCACATGTATACAATAAGACCCATAACAGGGAATGCGACTGCTGCCACTGCAGCTGCATGTTTGAGATTGAAGTTCTCTTCATGGGAGTAAAGTATCACGCCTCTTCGGGATTTTCTCGGAGCAAAGTGCGGTAAATCCAGGTAAAGTCTCAAACCCTGCAACAGAAACCTAGTTAGACCTTTTAAGGTACACTGCAAGAGATATACCGACGACGACGACTGTAGCTGCCACAACGGCTGTCTGGACATGGACCGGTGTCATCCAGCTGCTCTGGCTCTCAGTGTGTACTGGGTCATTGCGGTGTTCAACTCTGGGAGGTGCCTTAGGAACTTTTTGTGGCAAAGAACGAGCAACAGAATGCACGTGCGTGTAGTCCAAAAAGAGTCTCAACCCCTGCACGGGCGATAATATTAGAATGGTCATACAAACAGAACCTTAGACCCACAAAAACAGCCAACTTTTCCATCACTAAAAGGTGCACGCACTGGTCCCTAAAAAAGATAAAATAAATAAATTTAACACCCGATCGAACTGCAGCTTCTTCCACATAAATGTAGTCAACGTGATCGGTTTGAACTCCAGAAAATAAGGCAACTTACCTTCCAACCAGATATCCTTGCAAAATTCACTGCGGCAACCAAATCACTGTCACTTCCCAACAGTACCCGATCCCCCTCATCGTCTTCATACTGCGAAAGCCCACTCGAAGAATTCAAAATTGGTCTCAGATAGCTAAGCTCGCACTTAATCAAAGAGGCACGAAAGGAATCTCAATCTGGTACGTGATAAAAGTTGACAAGAGAGCAGTTGTCATATAGCAGCATAGTGCTTTATATTCAAGCAAACGGAACCTCGAAGAGCATAGCACAGAATATATACAAAATTTTCCTGTGAAGGCAACTGATAATGAGCAGCATACCATGATGTGAGGAAGTTGATTTAAATCAACATCATCACCTACGCGCTGTACTATGGCAGAGATAAGCTCTGTCAGACTCTCGGTTCCTGCTTAGGAGGTCACAATGCACAAACATTTTCAACAATCAATGCTTTAAAAACTCAATTTAGCCAGATTTGAAGAAAACCGTGTTTGATTCATGTTCCTTTCGCTGCCTCTTCACCCTCTTGACAAAATCGAAAAAGCGTTAGATGCAGACTCATACCACAGTTAAAACGATGAACACGGCCCTTTCGGTCTTCCAGCTTGAATGAGAATGTGTTTCCCATCCCGTTTCCCATCCCGAGAGATGGGTAATTCTGACGTCCTGCTTCTGACCCGTACATGTCTGAAGCCGCATGCCTCGCAGAAATATCGCTAGCAGTCACACTGCGGCCAACACATCTCAAATATTAACAGCACTGCACATTTATCACGGTACTTTATAAGCTTAAGGTGGATGAGTCCGAAAGTGATGGTCCATACGGTAAATGCCGTCGCGATAGACCTCTTCAGTCAAAGTGCTAAGACTCTGTAAACGTAAACTTTTCTTACAAGTGCCTTACATAGAACAATATCGATACTAAATGATCTCTCTAAATGGTACATGGGATCTGTGGTATCAAAGTTCAAAGTTAAGCGCTCTCTTTTTTGGCCCCACTCTTCATCGTACTTCCATGTCTCTAACTAAAAGCAACGCTCAGCCACGGCGATCGTTGGGTTGTCAGGCTATGAAGAGAGATATTAAACGGTACACTTTGAATAGATTGATATTAGAAGACATAAACTTACCTGTGAGTGTCGTCATCATCTTCTGGAGGCTCTAAAGCTAGAGCCGAATCCCAAAATTTCTGTAACATTGTACCCCCCACATCTGCGGCACCACCATTTGTGTTGCTCCCCACCTTGAAAAGAAACAGAACACTGATCAGCTTTTAAGCATCCATCTTCAATGTAAATACTTGACGTTAGATGCTGTAGTCAACACCAATTTCTTCAACAACATTGCAAGGAGCACACATTCCTTTCCCAAACGCAGGCCCCAGTCAGACGACCTGAGCAACCAATTCCAAAATTTTCTCTAATCTTTTACTCACGTACACACGACGAAGCAAAGGATGCCACATAGAAACGCGACTTTGATGCCAGTTGTCTTCTTGTTTCAACCATTCCATACTCGTTCTTGATCCTCATTCATGCTTTATCGAATCAATAGAATCAACTGGCAAATGCGTTAATGAAGAAAACATACCGTTGCAACAGCGCCATGTGTGAGCTGCAGGACATCTACGCATGCCACCACTTGACCATCTGCTTGCAAAATAGGCTGAGTAAGAGAAAGCACAAGCAGATGTTTGCCAGAAATCACAAATAAAGTGCCAAGATTTGAAGCCAGTTTGAATGTACAAACCTCTATCGACCACCGGAAGATGCAAAAATTTGCCATCATGCATCGTATGCAATGCATCAACGATGGTCGTGTCTAACGAAGCACATTCCGGATTGGGAGTCATGACCTGCAAAAATGACACCTCTGAGAAAAATTGTGACTCTAAACACTTCACAGCTTGCAATAAACAACGGAGGACTCTATCAATTAAATGACCACACCAGCACTAAAGACATATCCGGGAAGATTAACTCAAAGATAAGAGGAACCTTTCCAACGTACCTTCTCGACCGGTGTAGTATCAGGTGGAAGACCCACGGCAACTACTCGCATTAACACATCTTTTGATCTGCAAAACCATAACAGTGGATGTCATTTATAAGCCCAATTTCGAGAATACAATCAAAATGAAGAAATGAAGATACAATCACAAAATTCCTTTCGAGTATACAAAACGCCTTAGAGAGAAATCATTCGCACTCTGTTGCAAGAGGTAAGATTCACACGTGAGAATGCCCTGAGGCTTATTGTTGGTAGTGATGACAACCGAGTTGACACGCAAGTCACGCATCTTTTTTGTTGCAGTATAAACTGTGTCGGAAAGCCCAACAGTGGCAACTCTGTCAAGGACAGAAGCACCACAGTGAATGAGAACGACGAACACAAACAGGTAGCAAAAAGGAAACGACTAACCTAACTACAAACACGCCACACAAATCTCACATCAACTTTATACTCCCATTCCAACCTCAACGAAGAAGTCCTGAGCTGATGACAATTTACTTGAAATGCAACAACACAGAATGACAAAAAAGTGAGTAAGATGACACCCACTTGACTCCTTCACTGAGCAGAGATCCTAATGTAGGGCGAAACATTCGCTCTCGCAACGTTTCGATAAAATTGGACGGTGCCGCTGTGATACGAAATTCATGTCAATAATTTTCCAAGCTTTGATAGGAACCCTCGCTCTTCCATTGGCTAGTGCAAGTAAAGAAGGAATTCTTGAAAGAATAAAATATTATAATTTTTTGAGAGTGAATGTCCACTTCATACTATCAAAACTCTGAACACCAAAATCCATAACGCACCGTTGGCATTGTTGCCCCATTGGCGTTCAACACCCTCTACAGCAGCTGCAATCGCATTTCCTTTTTCTGCTGCCCTCTCCATCCTTGCAATCGCATCATACAGGCACTTGGTGATATCCAGAAGAGCAACTACTTCACCATTCTCAACGACTGGAAGATGCCGAAATTTCCCTGCACAAGTGTAAAACCAGGCTAAGAGCTAGGCTACTGATTGATTACAGTCCAGAAAGAAAATCTCGCTCCTAGCAACAGAAAGCTGGAATTTTCCATGTCGATGTAAGCTCTCCAAAATTAGAAAGCTCGCAAACTGGCCAAGTGGAACTAACAGAAAGCAGGGCGATACAAAGAAGTCCGGCACTTCAGTCTAAAATTCAGTCTAATAGTATGAGTTCCATGATTTGAATGTTCGAAAATGGAGGCAGTACCTTGGACCATTTTCTGTAATGCGTCTACCGCAAGAGTATCCCCCATCACAAATATTGGATTCCTTGTCATTACTTTGGATACTGAGGTCTCTTCAGGCTTAAAGCCCTCAGCGATAACCCTTGTTGCCACATCCTTCAGAAACAACAATCGACTGACTCAGAATAACCGAAGGCTAGAAACTTGCAACATTTATATTTGCGTATCTGGAGGGCAGAGGACAAATAATAAATCAAGTGCATCCCCGGCTTTCTTCACGTCCAGTTTTCATACCTTGTCAGTGATAATTCCACAGAGCAAAGCACTCGCATCAGTGAGCAGGGCTGCATCTACTCTTCTGGTGGCCATCCGGCGACAGGCATCTGCGACTGTTGTGCCATCTGGTATAGTAAGCGCCTTCGAAAGCCGCAACCTTTTCACAGTCCGCTCCCCAGGCGAGGTTCTGGTGGCGAACACATAACACAAGCTTTTGAGTCGTTTGCAGGCCTCAACTTACTACAAATGATGATTATTCTAATGCATCAGTCAAAATACAATAGACAGTACGATTACATATTGCCCTCCTTCATAGGCATGACTGCTTTTAGCAGTTATTTCGTCATCCAGCAGACCACCATCGGTGGTTCGCTGCACATACTGAGGTCAAGAACTTGGCCACACAAGTACCAGCCTTCCACCTTTTTGATCTAAATTAGAGGAACACACACGGGATCTGAACTTCTCAAAATTGGCTTGGTACAGGTCAGAATAGAGGGGGCGTGCTAAGCAGCACAATTCTGATGAACATGCACAGACGGTGATATATCCAGTTTCAATTAAGAATCGGGAGTGCACTTTAAGAACCACAAGTGCGGCATCTAATGGCTACTGAAGAACTCTTGGTGTTTGGGAGGAAAGAGCTCATTTGGTAAAGAGCCAAGAATCGAAAGATTTGGGAAAATCTTCCATACACAAAGGGATTTCAGATAAGGCTAGTTGAACACGAAATCCCTTCACGTGAAGACTTTCATTGCGCCTGACGATTGCAGCTAGATATTAGTTTCTATGATCAAATATCATATCTCAATTAGGGTCCAGCAGACTCAATTGGTTGATGGCCAAACAGTTTACTTCCGCTAGTGAAAGCAATGGTCTTAGTTCAGTTCCTACACGAATATATCTCGTGAAGGTCATTCGAAAAGTCTGTAGATTCAAACAGTATTTTGAAAAGAAGTAAACGAAAGTAAGACGTACAAAGCACACTTTGAAGAATTTCATCAAACCTCGGCAATAACGACCACAACTGGTCCAAGAACTAACTGATTCATAAAATCGTTCAAAAGAGTAGAAAACAAGAATCATACAAGGGCCTTCCTGCTCCGCCTGGTTTCCTAGCCCCGCCATTTTCAGACGGAGGTTTCTTTCTTGCTACGCCAGGACGCTTCGGAGTGGTAGCTTGCCCGCCTTGCCTCTTGCTCCCAGGTCCCTGGGCAGCAGATCCTGTGCTGCTCATTCTTGACGCCCTGCTCAATCCCCTCCCGCGGCCCCTCCTATCCCTCCCTCCTATTCAGCCGTGCAGCAAGCCTCCAATCACTCAATTTGCATCCTTGTGCAGGCTTCCCGATCTTCCAAGATCGCTCCGGATCACAAGATCCCGCTCATGAAATCCCTCTAACAAAGCCGAACTGCAAAGAACGAATTCAGATCCCCAAACGATTGAACAAGATCCACGTCTTTCAGAACAGATCGTGAGACAACACCAACTCGCCCATCGCAACCACAACAAATCATCAACTACATCAAACACTCACCCTCTAAGGGTTCTCGAAAAACAAACAAACGAGGGAAAAATATGTCACACGGTCCTCCTCTGCCTCGGTCGCTCTACGGCTCGCGACGATAAAAAGAGCAAAATGGTATCGATCGAACCAGAGGAGCCCGAACAAACCTACGGTTGCAGGAGAGTCGTCAAAGTAAAGCCTACAGATCGAATGAAAGGACGAATGAGCTGCTGCTACTCCTGGCTGAAGTCGGAGAGAGGGGAGGGATGAGGAGTGGAGATGGCGAGCTGCATTCGATGTAAAAGGATTCGCACGTCCCCTCAGAAGTTTACCCGCTCTCCCGCCGACAACACCCCGACACTATCACCAGTACCGTCCTCTCTCACTCGTCCAGCCGGATCACTCCCGTCGGGAGCCTTTGTGCCCATGTTCTCTCGAAGAGGCCATTTACCCCAAACTGCGCTCCGCCCGGACTCTGCCCGCCCGCTCGCCCGCTCTGCCCCCGTCGCCCCGATGACCTACCCTGTCCCGTCCCCAGCCTTCGCCCTCTCTCCCTCGCCTTGCCTCGCCTTGCCTTGCCTTGCCTTCCCTACCCTTCCCTGGCTTCTTTACGTATCCGCGTCTCGTCTCCGCCCCTCTCCTCGGCGTCCTTGCCTCTCGCCTCTCCTCGCGGGCCCGTGAGTCCCTCGCCTCTCGTCTCCCCTGCCCTCCTTTACTCCAGACGACGACTGTCGTAGCCTAGGCTTCTCCTGTCCAACCGCTGCCCACGTTTACAACAATGCCGCGCCTCATTCGTTATATCACCAGATCTCTGTTCTGTCCTCCTGTTCTGCCCTGCCCTGCCCGGAGCTGGCTATTTTTGTGTCTGTCATATTTCGCCATTTTTCCTCCCCGCACGACAACAGCAGAAGGGAGTTGACTGAGCGCCTCAAGGTTTTATATTCTGCCATCACCTGCAGCAACTAACTTTCTACATTATTGAAACCTTTACTTTCTGGAACTAATCTTTCTATCGCGTCCGATTTTGACTATAAAGGACACGTGTGGAATTCATTCGGCCCCGGCCTTGGAATTAACTTCTCGTCGGTTGGTTGTTTCCTTTAGCAGCCGCGAGTGTTACATCCGTCTCTGCCCTCGGTCTGATCTCGTAAAAAGAATGTGGAAACAAGTTGTGGTGAATGATGAATGTAACATCTCACGGCTACCCCCGACCTCGCCACCACTTATCGGTGAGCGTTTGGAGGCCACAAAACCTCCATGATTCCCTGCGCTTTGGGCCTTCTGACCTCTCCTCCCGATGATCTCCTCTGGGGTCTTTCCTTTTCTTTTCTCTTTCATGATGGTCTTCTACAGCTCGCAAAAGAAGGTCGGGATGCTTGAAATTTGGATATAAACGACCTTTTTGGGTTCTAATATAAGAGAATGTAAGACTGTGTTTTCTGACTTTGAATGAAGAACGGAATAGAATGTATGAAAATGACTGGCCACCATGTCCGTCACCGATCTATGTCTTCTGTTCTTGGCATTCATTACGTGGGTCGCAACTTTCAACGGTTCTCTTTGATAAATTACGTAATGATGATGAACTTTATAAATGTATCTTTAACGTGGGATATATTGTGAAAAGCGTAAATTGAAAGTTTTATCCATCTCGAACAATCTCGTCAAGGCTTCATTGGCTGCGCTTTATTGCATTACGTGCGGTGTGTTTCCAGCAGAAGCAGAAATCAGAAAGCAATATGATAGATGGTAGGTAAGCGAGTAGAAATATGAAAACTTTGCTCCAACTTTTGGAGTCTTCATAATACTCGGCCAGAGCACCCTTTCTTAACTAACAAAGAAATACTTCTCTTCTAGGAGAACTTTTTATATGATGCAGAACGCTTAGTAATCTTGATACATATCTTCATTGTTTCATGTGAGACAAGTGTTTCCATAAATCAAATCATGTTGATGAAGAAAGGTAACGCATGGGTTAAAAGTCATGATGCAACCAGATTGACTGTGATACAAAGCCAAAGCATGTGCTATACACCCAACCCTGAACTTCTGTTTCAAAATAGGAGAGAGCCAATATTCATTACAATAATTCAATATGTTTTTATGAAATTTGTGTGATGTTTCCCACATGCATATACTGTGTGCATGTGGTAAAAATGACTAAAATATCAAGTTAGATCTATCAAAGCTATTTTCCTCTTCATTTATATATCCATGTTATATAACATGTTGTATTCAAATACATTTTCCAAATGTAGGATACAGTTAGAAAATAACAATGTTGCACAAATATTATGGTAAAGCCTCGTGCACTTTCTAACAAAATGTTCAGATATATCCATTTGTTTGATGCATCTCTAAAGCAAGTCAGAATAAAGATTACTCTTACAAAATCCTTGATACTTGCGTATTTCAACAATGGTGATAATTTCCCACAAATTAACACCACAGTTCTTAAATCTGTTTTCATCAAGATCAATTGTAGAATTTAACACATTACGTTATATTACTTGTTATGGTGTACCATTGCTTTCTTCTGAACAACAACACCAATGACATGCTTAAGAGTTTAGAAGTCAGTATGATATTATCTAGACTCATAAGAACCTAGATAATATCATACTGACTTCTACACTCTTAAACATATATATATGTGTGTGTGCGCGCGCGCTCATTCTGATAAGATAGATATTCGTCATCACAGTTATTGAAGATATGTAGTGCATCATAATCGTGACATCTGATGCACACATTACAAATATTTCATGTTTTTCTTTACTGTTTTTTTTTTCAATTAATTTTCAAATGAAAATCCATGTCTAGATATATAATGATGTTAAAAAAATATATTTATAGATTGATGATCTTATAAAAAAAAATTAATGCATATATTTTGAAGCAAAATATAAATTATACTATCAAGATGAACTGATTTACTTGACATTGCATCTTAAAATCATTTTAAAAAATAAAATAAAAATAAAATGTTAAGAAATGAAATTTCTTTATATTTAAAATGTTGATATTATATATTTTCTTTCATCATTATACATCACAAATTATGTTTATAAGAATATAGAAAACTAAAATTTGAAGATAAAAAGAAGTCATGTGTATTACGTCTATATATATTACATAGAAATTAACCTAATATTCACATATAAAAAAATATAATATTTTTTGATAAATTTATGATTTTTTTTAAATAATAATATTTGAATTACATAAATGAAAATAAACATATTGAAATGTTATTCAGTGTCGCATGATTGCAATGGATATTTGGAAAGTACATGTTCATATTCTACTATTATTAGATGCTAGATTTATCATTGAGTATTCAATTTATCTAGTTTTAATTTGAAACATGTGCTGCTATCAATTTTCTGTAATAATATTCAATTATCATTCAATGAAGGTCAGGTAAACTCAGAGATCTAGTATACATATTATTCCTGCATTAACTTAGTCAATTTTAGATTACGAATGTACATTTTTTTGTTGGAAATAGGTCCATGCAATGTGAAATGTTTACAAGTTAATGAGGTTTCAGTTTTCAATTTATTCTTCTTACTATTATAGTTAGTTTAAGTATGATTAACATACATATACTTATGTAATGAAATACCTGTCTCTTCACCGTTTTGGGATATAAAATATGCAAAAGGCTTTGTGTAATCTTAATTAAAGATGTTCATAAAAACATGTATTATACAAGGATACTGTTGTGTAACATTCAAAAGTAGCCAAACATTTTTAAAGAAAATAGAAAACGCTGCACTGAATTACAAATTTTGTATACAAATTGCTAGCTTGATCCCAGTTGTTATTAGTAACAACGAATCAAAAACTGCATGCCTGCTCTATACAAAATTCACAAAGTATGATCACCCAAAATATATTCGTATGAATAACAAAGATACATGAGCATGTAGGTTTATTTGCAACGTATTCCTGAGAGGAACAACGTTTAAGTAAATTAAAATAATTTAAGCTGGAAAAACATGTCAAAGTAAAAATGTTCAAATTTAAGTGCAACCGATTCGGCTTGAAGATCGTCATTCTTGGAATACCGAGTAGGTTTATTTTTCTCTTCCATTGTTTTCTTTGGTGGTATCTGATTTCCTTATGTGCATTGGTTTCAAAGTATAGCTGCGACAAAGATTGAATATGAAAGGAGGGATAATCTGTGAAGTTGGTCTATATATTGTCTCATTAGTGGCTCTCATAAATTTGTATTTAAACCCAGTTCTTGCTTATATAATCTCTGGAGATATACAACTCACTTGAAATTGTCTAATTTTGCCCTTGCAGTAAAGATTATCGCAGAAATTGATCGTATGTTATTTGATACAGCGCAGAAAATAGACAGCCAAAAAGAATTTACGTTTCACAAAAGGCTGTGGTAGACGTCATTAAGAAGTAGATTTATCTCATATAAATATTCCGATCCGTTTATGAAGGGATTCTTACAACCAGGAAGTACGAAACAAAAGAGATGTGTGTCGTCTGTACCGTCGGAGGCATCATTCTCGTAGAAGTCATGGCAATGTTGTTGGTCAGTGGAATCAGTGCGGTGAGGTGAAAGTGCCAAGGCTTCATAAATCTAGCAAGGCAGTGAAGTTGCTCGTGGAAGACAGTTCGTAAAGGAGGAGGACTTTGCAAATTTCCGGTCGCCGGATGCTACATCGTAAGCATCTCAAAGGAAGAATCCACATCATACGAATTGACCCTGTCTTCTAAAACGATTCCTTCCGACTGTGGGCAAGAAGAAGGGACCTTTTGCCCAGCCAAAAGTTGTCCACCGTACTAGGAAGGAAAGATGCCAGACGTGATTTCCTCATCTTCTACGTGCTTGCGCCATGGCAAGCGAGAAACGGATCCCTGATGGGAATGTCACTCAGTCGGAGCGACCGCGCAACAAACCGCGCAGTGGGTAGCGTGACTACTTGGGCCGGTGACAAAACGAGCGACGAGTAGGAAGACCTGTTAGGAAGACCCGAGGGATAAGATAAGGGCGGTAAACAGAGGATATACTTAGATCCACGCATGCCCCGGACTCCGGGGCCTACTCGAGAGCGCCTCTCCAGATGTTAGGAGGGCCTCTAAGTTTGGCGATGTTCCCACCGTTGTGGATATGCCGGTGGCGGGGGGTGGGAAGTTAGAAACCGCTGGAAGGAGCGCAGGGGAGCTGTAATGAGAATCTAAATTTGCCTAACTTGTCGCGTGTTCTGCCAATGAGGACGATCGGCGAAGGACCACGTTGGCTTCTGGGAGGGCGTCGGAGCAGTAACTTTGTGAAGCGAAACATGTGAATGCGCTGTGGAGGTGGATCATGGATGGCAGGCATGGCAACACCCGGAGAATGAATGCCATGGGGTAGGATGGCATGGCATGGCATGCGAAGGGGTCAGGAACTTAGGACGCATAAAGCGCGATTAATTACCATAATTCACCCCAACGTGGGCGGAATTTAGCGAGTTACTGCAAACAACTCGCGCAACAAAAGACCTGGAAGGCCCATAATCAAGTCGCGGACGCCCGAAATCTCCCCGGTCGCGCACATAATAAAGCACGAGAACATGAACATCAGGCGGGAATGGCGTACTCCACCCTTCACCCGAATGGCATGCCTCCAGGCGCTGGTGCGAGTGTGGGCCGTCCGCTGCAGGATCGGACGCCGGGGCACTTCCGAGACAGTTGTTCGGTAGCTGCGCTTCCCCCCATCGTGAAGCGTTGACCGGATTTGTAGCGGAGGCCTCATGGTGGCCGGCTTTTGCTGCCGGGGAACTGCTGCGGCCATGCCGCAGGATGGATCATGGATGCGGGCGATGGCAGAGCGGCCAGTCCAGCAAGGCCCGGCCAGGCCAGCCGAGTCGAGTCAAGCCAAGCGGAGCCTGCCCAGTGTGCGAGCTCGACTTTTGTTTTTCGGTCGCTTTCTTGTCCTCGAGGGAGAGCACCAGCCGCTGCGCTCCTACTGCGGACGGAGGAGGAGGACGAGGAGAGGTGCCAGGAGGACTAGTGGCAGGGCCGGGCGGGGCAGGGCAGGCAGGGCAGACGAGACAGACAAATTGATTTCGAGTGCGAGAAGTGACTGAGAGGGAGCGAGAGAGAGACCGACACAGAGGGCCAGATAGAGTGAGCGAGCGGGCGAGCGAGGGAGAGAGAGTAGTGAGCGAGCGAGTGAGTGAGTGAGGGGGTGGGGTGGGCTGGGGGGAGTGACATAGTGCAGCGCTGGGTGGGGCGGGCGGGGATAGTGTATGTAGTAGTGTATGCTTAGAGGGAGAGTAGGAAACTTTTTTCTGTTTTCCTTTCTCGAGGTACATGACGCAGAGATGGGTCCTGCGAGGAGGAGGAGGAGGATTTAGTGAGAGCCCTACGAATCCTTCACACGTCGGTGGAGTGGGAGTGGGAGTGGGAGTGCGAGGTGTTGCAGACGCTGCTGCAGCTGCGGGCTAGCACAGTTTGACGGTGCACGGAGGGAGGGAGAGGGAGAGAATAGAGATGGGGAAACGAATCACTGCTTCTCTGGGAACGATGACGATCATAATGATGTGAGTGTAGCTCGGAAGCAGCTAAAGAATTAGAATTGCGTGCGAGGAGGTTTGGGCATCGCTGGCCTCAGTGGGTGCTGAAGAGCGTGCCGGTGCATGTTTGCAGATCGAGATGAAGGAGTCAGGGGAATCTGGGAGTCCCTGCGTGTAGCAAAACCCTTCCACCTCCGCACCTCAATCAGCTCGAGCAGCAGCTGGATGAGCGAGACTGTATTTGCACGGCGGTCGTCCGGACGCTTGAGGATCTAGAGGTGTGATGTAGTTGCTCTTTTTGCCCCGGTTTAGGTTGTGATTGATGATGAAGCGGATGCAAGCTGGAGCAAGCAGCCTAGGATGGGCTTCGACTCCCGGGGCCAAGAAGGCAGGCAGGTTCCGTCTGAAGGATGATGCGTTGTGGCACGCAGGACGGTGCATGCTCTAATGATGGATGGGGGTGGTGTGAAAATATAGTTTCTGCGGCAAGTAGAATGGTTAGGCAGTAGTCAGACGTTTTGGTGTAGTCTCGCGACCAGGGGACTCCCATTGCTCGAGGCGCTAGTCAATCATAATCAATCCAGTACATAGTTTTTCAAGATGAGAAGCTTGCGGATGACTGAGGGATTCAAGAACAGTCACGTGCACGCGGTGAGTCCCATCGAGACCAGCATCTCGGTCGGAGCTGGAAATGGAAAGCATTGCCGAACGACGTACAATGAGTCGGCCCCTTCCACTAGGTGCGTGAAGTCCAAGTCGAAGCCTGACAAATTTCTCGTCCCCCAGCTCCCGTCCCAACGCTCTGTAGTATTTCTGATCTGCGCTTTGCGTTTTTGCCTTTGCGGAGTGTGCATAGTGGCCGGTGTCGTTGTCGAGTCGTGTTTCTGAGCTGAGCTGGCGTGATCGTTTTGGCCCGCAGTTGCACCGTCGCCCAACTCGCAGATCCGTGCTTGCAGCCCTACTTCAGGCCGGTAGACTATGTGGAATCGTTGGCGGAGATTCATGAGGAGTTGGAGCTGGCTGCGGACGGGGAGAAGGCCCGCTTGTACATGGAGCAGTCCTTCGTTTTTCGGGGCCTGGGCGAGAGCAAAATGCTGCGTCGCAGCTTGCGTTCTGCTCGGCAGCACGCGGTGACGGTTCACGATAAGCTCGTACTTGCGTCTTGGCTAAAATACGAGAAACGCGCAGAGGAGCTCCATGAGGGATCTCCCACCTTGTGTACAGGTCGCAGATTGGAGTGTCCCCGATCGGCTCTGGTTCCCGGCTTCGCTCCCAAGCTGGCCCTGGAGCCGTGCGCCTGTGAAGGTCCCGATGCAGATGGTGCCCTCCTGGTGGACGAGTGCTCGACGTCTGGCTTCATAAGGAATGATGTAGTCTTTCTTATCGATAACGATAGAGTATTCTGTAATAGGCAGAGAATAGCTTGTCTTTCTGGTCCATTCCATGCGATGCTGAACGGTTGTTTCGCAGAGTCTCGTGCAGATGAGATAGAGTTTTCCGACAACGGGATCTCTCCCGTAGGAATGAGGGCGGTGGACGAGTTTAGTAAACTGGGCAGACTAGGCTTCTTGGCTCCTGACCTGGTGCTGGAACTGTTAGCCTTTGCTAATAGATTTTGTTGTGAACATTTAAAAGACGCTTGTGACAAACGGCTTGCGGCCTTGGTGCACTCCACTCAAGATGCGGTGACATTTCTTGACTATGCATTAGAAGAAAGTGCCCAAGTCCTCGTAGCCTCTTGCCTCCAAGTTTTTCTTCGGGAGCTACCGGGATCCCTACATAATCCTCAGATTGGCACTTTGCTGTATCGGCCAGAAGGAAGGAAGAGATTCCAGATGGTGGGACACTCGTCCTTCGCGCTGTACTCTCTTTTGAGTCAAGTGGCAATGGAAGAGGATATAAAGTCGGATCTCTCCGTGGTGCTTCTTGAACGTGCAGTAGAATGCGCGGTCTCTTCTCGACAAAAAGCGTTGGCTCTTCATCAGCTCGGCTGCGTGACTCTTAGTAGAAAGCAGTACCTCGAGGCACAGGAGTTTTTCACAGGAGCTGCTAATGAAGGGCATGTTTATTCACGGGCCGGAATCGCGAGGGCCAAATATAAGCGGGGCCTTAGGCTTGCGGCTTTCGCAGACGCTTCATCCATTCTGTCAACTGAGAAACCCGCAGGATGGATGTACTTAGAGAGGTCTTTGTATTGCGATGGAAAGGACAAGCTAGCGGATTTGAATAAGGCAACTGAGCTGGATCCCACTCTACTGTACCCGTATAAATACAGATCCGCCTCCCTAATGGATGAGCAAAAGGTTGAGCCAGCCATCGTAGAAATCAACCGGGTTTTGGGGTTTAAGGTTACGCCGGACTGTCTGGAGTTGCGAGCTTACTTCTGTCTTGCTCTCCAAGATTACCAAGGAGCGACTAGGGATGTTCGAGCGTTGCTGACACTCGATCCCTCGTTCATGATGTATTCTGGCCGAGTTACAGCTGTACAACTACTCAGATTGCTAAGTCTGCACGTGGACGAGTGGACTAAAGCAGATTGCTGGATGCAACTATACGATCATTGGTCATCCGTGGACGACATTGGATCACTGGCAGTTGTCCACCAAATGCTGGAGTCTGATCCCGGAAAGGGCTTACTATTCTTCCGACAGTCACTGCTTCTTTTGAGGTTAGTCAACCTCCTAACAAATAACATTCCCAAATTGTGCAATTCTCGCCAACAGTAGCCAGTGTGCAGCCCTGGGTTTTGCTGATTTCTGTTTGATATAAGGAATAGAGGGCTAAACTTGACTTGTGAGTGGTTTGAGTTGTGTACATGAGGTTTTGAGGGCAACCGCCTTCGTATTTTTATTTGTGTTTCAAGAATCTAGATCATATCATCTATTAGTAGACGGTGGTCGCTAGTGGTTGCCGGAAGTCTCAGATGCCTGGTGGCAAAGAGTGATCTGTTTGGTTCCTATGCGGGCTCCCGACGAGAATTTTGTATGCTGCTGCCCTGGCTGAGTTGTTTTGTCTGGAGAGCTGGTCACCGGACCTAAACTTTGATATATATGAGTATAAGCTGAGGAAGCGAGATGTGTTTTCCAACATGTGTATGCAGATTAAATTGCCCGAAAGCTGCCATGCGCAGTTTAAGATTGGCGCGTGAACATGCAAGTAGTGAGCATGAAAAGTTGGTGTACGAAGGCTGGATTCTGTATGACACAGGGCATAGAGAGGAAGCTTTGGAGAAGGCCGAAGAATCAATCGCCATTCAACGGTCATTTGAAGCTTTTTTCCTGAAAGCTTATGCTTTAGCAGACACGAGCTTGGATCCGGGATCATCAGCTAAAGTAGTTGAGCTCCTAGAGGAGGCACTAAAATGCCCATCCGACGGACTGCGCAAAGGACAGGTGTGATTTTGTCTCAAGCACCAAGGTGTTTACTCTTTTTTAAGTGCCCTGTGCTTGTGAAAGCTATTTCTCAGCATGATTCTGAACAGACTTACGTTGTGGTTGCAGGCCTTAAACAACCTTGGCAGTGTATATGTAGACTGCCGTGAGTTGAAGCTCGCTGCTGACCGATATGTGAGTGCCCTCAAAATCCGCCACACCCGAGCACATCAAGGGTTGGCACGAGTGCACCATTTGCAAGGAGATCGAAAGTCAGCGCACGAAGAGATGACTAGACTAATAGAAAAGGCCAGGAATAATGCATCTGCTTATGAGAAGAGATCAGAATACGGAGAGAGGGACATGACTATGGAGGATCTTCAAAAAGTCACGCAACTGGACCCGCTGCGGACGTATCCATATCGATATCGAGCTGCAGGCAAGTGTATTTGTAACCTACAGGGTTTCTCGTTCTCCCTTCTTTCTGGATTCAGGAGTTTCGCATCTCTTCCAACATCTGGAAATTCCTGAAATGCATTTGAAGGAAAACTGGCCAATTGTAGCTTACTTCAGAGCATAAGCTTGTGTAGCCGACTGACTTCGAATTACAGCGTTGACAAGAAGACAGATTGTTGACTAGGAACGTTTGCGGTAAAGTTCGTATGCTTCTGGTAACATGGTCAGCATATGTACATATTAGGTCATCATCCCATACATTTCCCATGACATGAGAGATAGGCCATTAAATTACAGATGATATACATGTCCTGTCCTGTTCTGGGCATTTGGAACTGGTCTTCAGCTAGCTAGTGAATCGAGATTAACGGTGTTCCGGTGTTGATTTTTGCAGTTTTGATGGACAGTCACAGGGAGAAAGAAGCCATAGCAGAGCTTTCTAAAGCAATCGCTTTCAAAGCTGATCTGCAAGTACTGCACCTACGTGCGGCTTTTCATGAGTGTATCGGTGACCTTCAAGCCAGCCTTCGAGATTGTCGTGCTGTTTTGTCCATGGACCCGAATCATCAGGATACTTTGGAACTTCACAATCGAGTTCATGGTCGAGAGGCTTATTAGTGTTACCAGTTTATTCCTGAGCAATCAGGCGGACCAAACTTGGTCCTTGAGCAATCAGCCTGTTAGAAAGGCTTTGCAAAGGACCAACTTTGGTCCTCCCTGAAAATGCTCCTAGTTGCCATCGTTTCGTGCTTGGAAATGCTGCTTGCATTTTTGTTCCCTGTATCATTCATTCAAAAGTATCTGCAATTTTTTCTTATGTGGGTCAAGCAGTGATATCTAGAATCTATGCCTTCCTCTTGCATTGGGCATCCTGGAACAATGTTCACACTGCTTGTACAGGACCCTTCTTATCCTCACCAAATGGTGAAATTTCCCACTCTCGGCACGACCTTGTAGATTGCCATACAGATGTGAATCTTTCTTGTAATTATCTTCACCGCGAGTTAAGAGTAGGACGCCGCAGGGATACCCTGGATTATCTTTGTGTCTTCAAATTGTTTTTTGTCTCTGCCTGCCGTGCTATCTCCGTGCACGTCAGGCCTGTTGACAATATAATTTTTTGAATTCAACTGAACCTTGACAGGTGTGGATGCCACCGATCTACTGCTGTGGACTCGATTGGTGGATATTATTTCAAGAGTAGATTATACGGCCTCTGTGACTCAATCTGTATATGTGCTCATTTGAGTTTGCAGTTACTGCTTGCAAGAGGACCTGTAAGCGTTCCGAAGTAGATGAAATGAGTATCTATGCTAGACAATCTTAGATTCCCCGTCCATCGTCAGTGACCTAATCATGGAAGCCGGGCTGGAACTCAGTGGGGTCTTATTTGGCTTTGCCGATGCATATCACGAGCTCCTTGTTGAATCATTTGGGCCGAAGCGCCGAATGTACGCTGGCAATATGACTAATGACGTCACTGCATTCCAGCGGTGTTGTTGGCTTCAACTTAGTCTCCGAGCTGAGAAAAGCTTTGTGTCTGGCATGACAAGAATTTTGCTTCTCGTATTTTATGACTCATATGGAAAGTTGTCGGTTCCAAGCGCCTTCTTTGTACTCATTTCGCCTGGCAGCGATGAATATGCATGCATATATAACCACCACATTCGTAAGACTCACGGCCATGGCCTAGTCAGCTAGCTGAAATGGATGCTCGTCTTCTCTTCTGCTTTCGTGCACACCAAGCGTCCTACCCACATCCAGGATTGTAGCTCACGAAGTGTACACAGGGGACCGATTGTATGTTACTAATATTTGTGCCACGCGGGATCGGTTGAACATGCTTCCATACTCGGCCGCACCCGTCACACGGCGACGAGATCACACACATGCCTGACATGTTTCGACTCGGTACACGCACTTGCCTCGTGCCGCTCCGCATAGCTCGCCGTTTACCCGGGGCACACTGGAACCTGAACCCAAGTTCTCAGGCCCTACACGCTAAGACCGCCGGTACGGGGCTGTTGGGCGACGCCGAAAGGTTCGGCACATGGAGGAAATTACCGTCAGCACAGCCGTGCGCCCAACTCAAGGATCTGGCGGGACTCGGACTGGGACTGGGAGGTCGGGACTCGGGAGAGACTTGCGGAAGACTACAGGTCTCTGGCATGTGGGATCTGGGATGATGGGATGCTGGGATTCTGAGACCGAGCCTACGAGGCTCAGGACGTAGCACACCTCATCCTAGCAGGAGACTAATCTGGATGATGGAGCCGGGGCGCCCCGGATTATCCCCGACGATCCGGCTTTGACCTCGCTTCCAGGAGCGGGAAAAAGCTGATCCCTGACACATCTAGCGTGATGATCCCATTCCGCTCTGGACTTCTACCCATCGCCAATCGCATGTGTAGGCATTTCAAATAGGCTGTCGAAATTCTGCTACCTACCTCGAGCATTCTTCCCTGTCCTCGGCATGTCGAAGACGGCAGCGCAGCGCAGCGCAACGGCACGCGAACGTTGACGCCAGTGCGCAAGGACGGAAGGTGGGAAGGAAGAAGGCGATAACTGCGAACTCCGAACGTTCGTCTCTGCCCCCGTCGGCTCCTCGGCCCCCATCGAGTACTCCTCCTCGTCGGTCCCGAAACTCGGCGTTGAAAGTCCTCCATCGGATCACGTACGAACCGCCTTCCCTCCCCTCCCGCAGCGCTCCAGTGCCTGCCTTCTCCTCTCTCTCTCTCTCTGTCTCTGTACGAGGATAAGCACAGTGGTAGGGGAGAAAAGCACCGCACTGGACATTCATGTCTCTGGCCGTGTCAGGGTCCAGGGACTCTGCGCTGGTCTAGCCTCGAGGCAGAGGGCGAAAGAAGCTTCACTATTGTGACCGGGTGGGCCCGGCCCGGGGTCAGAATGGCGGGGCTTGTACGGCGTGTCTGCCGCCAGGTCAGCGACGGGAATGCAGACTGTGGGCGTCGGGCGGTCGCATGGAGAGGAGCACTGATCGGCGGTCCATGCGAATACTCCAGACGAGGTGCCATACTGTATGCTTACGGCATGGGCACGTTGTCCATAAAAGAGTTCTGTCAGAGAAGCAGAAGGTCTTCTCCCTGATCTTGGGACATTTGGCTCCTGCCGACAGTCTTCAAGATGAACATTTGCGCACGCTCACCAGCCACCACTAAAAGAATTTCTGTTGAATTGAGTGAATTCCTTGTTGTTGCAGTTGGCGCCACTCTTCCCTGTAGAAAGCTGAGGCTGTCCTACGTCGATCCATCATCCATTCGCGCAGCTACCCATAACCGAAAACAGTTAATTTACCCCTCCTGCCCGACGAAACGTTCCATGTGCTCTCTTCAAAGCCACAGCCAGGCTCCGATCTGCTCATTATGTGCTTGTCTCCTTCGCAATGATTTTCATCCGAGCCTTTGCTGTTTCGTCCTCTACCATCTCAGCGTGAATCTTAGAGGACATATAAGAGGAAACTCTGAACTGCCTGTGGCTGATCATTCACACTCTTTGGTGTTATACATGCCACTGGGTGACATGTGATCCTGTCTATTGTCGCTTTCTTAACTTTTGATTTTCACAATATCATCGTGAAATGCTAGAAGTCTATTTAATTGCCCAGGCCAGTGCAATGATGCCTGCAAACTGTGCTAGTAGGCTAGTCGCAATATTCTCGGAACTGTGCTCTGAAACGCGACCAAGAGATGGGGGATTTGATCTTTATATGATCACAGTAAAGTCATTGCATGACATGGAAAGAGCTCCTTAGTTATCATGGCAATCCTGAGCTATATTCTCATTGTTTAAGATCGATAATTTATATTTTGTTCTAAACCTATCCTGAAATGATTTGTTTTAAGTATGTGGCATGAACTACGATAATGATATTGGTTCTAAAATCCTATGTACAAGTGCACAAGTGGTGAGAGCACTTCTGAATTATTCTCAGGAAGATGAATTGCAAATCTGTAAACTTGTAAAAGTGCAAGTGAAATATTTCTGATGATTCAAATAAGAAAGAAGTCAATGCATTTAAAAGAAGAGGCTCGAGATTGACAGTTGACCCAACTTATGTAACTGCAGGCTAGAACAACCATGACCGTATGCCTGTGGGCTGACGGTAATGTCATCGTTGTGGCGATATTTCTTTTGTCACCGTCGCGTGAAGAGTTCACCCATCGAGTGCGTCGATGTGAGACACGTGTCGGTGACCACATTACCTGCCCATCAGTCCGCGGTATCACCATCAAGCGCACATATGCCCAATCATTCAAGCACAATCTACGCAATGAGCTCAATCTCAGACACAAAGAATCATGGTAGAATGAAATTTTCAGTGGCTGCCCTCGCCTTGCTTGTCGTTCATCCCACCTTGCTTCAAATCCGTCTTAGTTTCTTCAAATCCGTCCCAACTTTGCATCATGCAACATCATTCTAGTGAATGATGCTCCTCAATCTAAAAGATTTTGTTCCTGTGTCTCCTCTTCTACAAAGCTTTGTTTTTAAAAACCTTAGATTTGTTTAATCGAATCTGTAACTTCCGAGCTGACTCTCACTTAGGTTTAAATCAGATGGCTTTGTGGTATTTCATCATGGTTCTAGAAGATTAGGGTTCCTCTTCCTATTCCTAGCCCAAACACACTCTCACACAATCTTTCAATTTATAACTCTAACTCAGAAAGAAATAGACATTCAAAGAAATTGAAAATCATCATTCTTTCATGTATGAAACAAATCTCTACACATAGGCTCTCCAAACTTGTTTCCGATGCTCTTCCCTATCTCTCTATACATATTACTTGAAAATTTACCATGGTAATAAATGGTAATTCTTATCTAACATACTTTTACAAAGATAAACCATAGTAAATTTGACTAGTTATCAATACGTGATAACATGCCATTGGTTTGCTAAACCTTCTAGATGTTCACTACTCTATAGATTGAAGTGACTACATGCCATTTGTGCCTTTCTAACTTCTAGAACTTACTCTTGCCACGAAGTCAACATTAGACTTAGTCTAACTAATGAAGTCGTATTTATTTGACTAAATAAGTCTAAAGTCTTTTACTTTAAAATGTAGACTTTTGTACAAGGCAAAATAGAAGTGCTCACTCAAATCTTCTAAAACTTCTCTAGTGATTCCGCCAAGTATAAACATTATAGCAAAATATAGTTATAACTAACTAAACTAATCATAACTAGTTAGATTTAATAATGACTAGCTAGACTTAGTCATAACTAAGCTAACCATGACTAACTCCTTGGCTACTTCTTATTCTATTTCACACATACCACATCTGGTCTTACAATTCATGTCATGATATGATTACGGACACATGTGATCTCTCCAAAGCTCTGAGTATACTGGATTGATTTCAAGAATATGAATATCTAAACATACTACTTAGATTGTCAAATTGAAGTCCTCTTGATCTATGTTCAGTGGTACTATTTATGATAGTACCGCATTCTAGTGTGGAAGGATGTTTGACATTATACTAATCAGTCGAGTTGTCTATCTCGATTGATTGAGACACATATTTCTTTTGAAAGCTATGAATACATGCAAAAACTAAAATTCAGTTTAGGAGTAGAAAAAGATGTCGCAACATGTTTTTCAAAAAATATGCTTCATTGCTTGATCCTTTGATATCGTACTCAAGCAAGTCGTTTATATTCTAGTAATATTGTCACAGATTTATTTCAATTTACACATGAATGAATGAAATTGTTTTGATTCAAATAGGAATCAAAGAAGATGTCTAGCTGCTTGACATTAGCTCATTTTTATCTTCAGCTTCAACTTACAAAGTAATCTCTAATTTGAAGCAAACAGCCATCAACCATCAGCCACCATATGCTATATCAAAATGAATGTCAAACAGATTCATGAATTTCTAAATTTGCTAACTCTACAAATTCTTCATTCAAATTTATGTGAAAAAAATAGCCTATATGTCTTCAACTTTGAAAATTATGATGCAATCTAAATCTGATTTACAACTAGGATTTTGGGCTTAATGGCCCATGTCATATAAATGAAGAGCTCTATCAAAGTTAAAACAGGCCAAACATAAAATGTTGATAAAAAAATTGCTTGAGCTCGATAAGATGAGACCATTAACAAGCAAAGCTGCACAAAGCGGGAAGAAAACCACATCAAATATTTACTTCGCTGCAATCACCTTTAAACTGAAAAAAAACCTAGACTGTGGCTTAGAAGTTGCAACATATCCCTGCCATTGACAAGTTTTTGTAAGCAATAATATGTGCCAAGATAATAAAACAAATGAGTTTTTACAAAAAAAGATTTTATAACTCCTCAAGCCCGTACCTACTACTTGGGTACCATTGGCAGCAAATTGGTTCCTCAAATTGGTTCCAAGGAGAAATCTTTATAATATTAAAAAGTACAAACTTCTAGATTAAAAAAATAGCAAAGTAAAGTTTTTGAACTCTATGATTGATAACTTTGCTTTCTCGCT